GGCCTTAAAAACCATGGTGAGCATTTTAGGCTCTTTTCTAAGAGTCACTTAAATGCTTCCAGCATGATGCTGCTTGTGTGTTGATAGTAATGTTAGAGAAGGAAACACTATAAACATCCAAGGAGAAAAATTGGGAGATAAGAGAGGGAAGAATGGAAAAATAAAGCAAATGGGACTTCGCAAAAAGGGCTTAGACTTGACTTTAGCAGTCAGGCAGTGGCCAGGCTTGCCGGGCCACCTTTCCGTGTGTGCCCTGCCGGTTGTCGCCATTACTTTACAAAGCACTTTTTACAGTAAGTATTTTAAAAATCCAATATATTGAAGACTTGAGGACACTAAAAGGTCAGGAAAACACTATTTATAGATATACTGATAAAATGCTTGCTCTGATTAAAGCAACAGCCTCAGACCATGATTCATAGATTTCCACTGGCATTTGATTCAGATGGTGGACTAAGATAATTCCTGTTTAAATAAAAAAATAAAAATAAAAACCCCACCAGGAGTCTGCACTTAAAGCAAAACACAAAGCACCTCTAGTAAATTAGGACGGAGCTAATTGGGTTTTCCCCTAATGCCCCATCCTCCTATGCACCTTCGCTATGATTGGCACATGTGGGGTAGTGAGCCAGTTAGTACTATGCACAGCATCATGTCGTTAGGAGATAAATGCAAGAAAGACCGAGTTCATGCCCTTTCCTCCCAGTTTCCATAAATTGTAATTTGTTAAGTCACAAAGAATGTCATAAACACGGTTTTCAATGTTATGGGAAACACAAAATAATTAGAAGCCATTATTTCTCAAATGCACATTCTCTCTCTTCCCTTTGCCTCCAAGCTCCTCATCCTCCAATCCATTCTCCACACTTTCTGCAAAGTACCTTTCCAAAGTAAAAACTACATTCTTTCTCCAAGGGAGATCTAGAAAGGAATATTTTTAAAAAGCAAAAACTATAGATGGCAATGCACAACCTGTAGCTGCTCCCCACGGATGATGGGCTGAAGCCCCAAGTCTTGTTCATGTTACTGGAAGTCCTAGAGTATGGCTCCAATCTACCAGCACAGTCTCATCTCCTAGCCTTCCCATCTTCCTGCTTCCTACTCTTACTTCCTCTTGGGCTGTAACCACAGTGGACTATGTGTACTTTCCCCTATGGTCAGAGTCAAAGCTCAACTCAGCCGCTTATCTGCTGAATAGCTTGGGCAAATTACTTATCTTCTCTGATCATTCCTTTTCCTATAAAATAGAAATAATAATAGTATATAATCTATATACCCCATGGGCTTGTTAGGGGATTAAATAAGTAAATACATTTAGAATAATGCCAAACACATTACAAGTGCTGAATAAATGATAGAAGTGGTCATCCCTGATTTGGGGTTAGGGACAAATACTATGCTGGCCTGAGAACTCTGGCAGTAATTTCCCTATTCCCTATTCAGCATGCCATTGACACTGTCCCTTCTGAACAGTGACACTCTGAAGTGTATGACATGTTTTTTACCTCTATTTTCTTATATCACATAACAATGAGTGTGGTGTCCACTTTTGGGTTTCAGAATTCAAAGAAGAATTTGGAAGTTTGGGATGGTGGTTCAGAGTCAAAATAATGATTAATGGAGTAGAAATAATTAAAAGAACCTAAAGCAATTCAGAATACTTTTTATATTTGCAAGACGTGATACTGAAAGGAACATGAACTTGGGGTATGCTTACAGTCCAAATGAAACTTAAATGAGGTAATACATATGAACATCTAGGAAAAAAAAATATAGTAGGTATTGGAATACATGTGGATTGAATCAGAATTTTTTCTTTTCTTGCTCACAGCAGTACTCGATTATGTATGTTGACTGAATGAAAAAGAAAACCCTGGGAACAGTTAATAATGATCTTCATATTCATGAAGGTTCTTGTAAATCTTTTCTAACTATCCACTGAGAGGGAAAAACAGAGTATATATTATATATAAGTAATAAAGGTTAATCAGGAGGAAGAAGTTTCCAACAGCTGGACTATGAAGTAGTAAGATTGTGTACTAAGTGAGGTTATAGAATTATTTTCTCTAGTCATAAAAGTAGGACAGATTCCCATATGTCAAAGATGGAGTAATTGTGGTTCTTCCCAAGGGTAAAAGGAAGCAATGAGATAATCACCCAAATTCCTTCCAGATTTAGGATTGTGTAAATATTCTGATTAGTGACAACGCATTGAACATCTACTTTTCTTCAGATATTTTTTAAATAATCCCAGCTGGAATTTCACTTGTATTTCTTAAATCTTCTGCCATTAGCCCACACTTTATAACTTGGGTTTTCAAATCCAGACCTACACGTTCATATAACTAAAATATGAAATCTACAAATAACTAAAGATTTTTTAAAAGCTGTTTAGTGGGTTTAGATATAAACTGCATCCTCTGCATTGTTTAGCTTCATCATGAAAATTACTTTAATTTCAATGCCGGAATCAAAACAATCCAATCTTCTTAAAAGAAGCCTACTGTCTACTGTAAAGTAATAACATGTTTTTAGAGACTTCTAAGTGCATATCTTGGAATTTCTAACTTAAATGCATGGTTTGAGAAATGCCAATCGTTAATCGTGAAAGGCTGGTTACATTTCATTATGACAAAGAGGCAAAAATAAAGTACCTATACTCTTATTTCATCATGTAACTATTTCATCTGATATTGAAAAGTACCTAAGTTTTAATATTTGAAAAAAGTCACTGAAATATGTAAGATATATATGTCTATTTTCCAAAAAGTGATTTTCATGGCATGTTTCATGAAAATAAATTTGAAAAATCTTAAGCATATACTCAGATAAAACAATAGAAATAAATATAAATATAGACCACCATGAGCTGAAAACAAACTGTGATACAGCTTTGCTAAGAAACAGAAGAAGGGGAGTGTGCAAGTTGGAAGGAAATAAAGGATGAAAACGAATCATAGTCATTACTAAAGTTTTTTATAAGTTTAATGATTAATGAATTCTTTAAACCTATATTATAGAACATTATTCCAAACTCATGTTTTTTTTTTTTTTTGGCAATTCTGAAGAATTTTGTTTTAACTCACCTAAAAGAAGATCATTTTTGCATAAGTAACATCAGATATCATTTAATTGTTCTTTTTGCAACTTGCTGCAAGAAAATTTGTATAATGCATGAGTAAAACTGGCTTTTTAGTCATTTTAAAATTTTGGTTCTTTTGAAAAGAAAAAAAAAACCCAGTATTTATAGCTCTATGTTCCTAGCACATAAAAAATCTATTCTAAGAAAAAGAAAGGTCACATTATTATATTTGGGAACCAAAATTCAACATTAAGGAGAATATTACCAGGGTTTTAAGATTTATCATATCTAAAAATTAACTATCTAAAATTAAATATCCTTTTGGTCAAAATAATGGTTTAATATTAATTGAAGTAGTAAAATTATGCATCTATTAATTAATTGCATATGTTCTATATATGTTCTTTTTGTGAAAACTAATTAACAATATGACTATATATCTTCACCTGTTCAGTTATACTACTTAGCAAACTATATGAAAATATACACATGTTAGGGGTGGGATAAAGCACAAGAGAGAGAACTTCAAATCAGTACATCCTTATATAAAAACCTTATCTTTCTACTGGTGCTACCACCATTGGTAGGTTTTGAAAAACTAATCACATGTGTCCTACAAGAGATTACAATTAAATAACAAGATTCAATACATCAAGAAGATGACCAATAACATTCTCCAATAAAGCAATTATATGAACAACAGTCCATTGTCAGGAAACAAGAATAGCCATGTCACATTTAGCCAGGCAAAGTATGTGTTGGCTAAACATGTGGTACCTATCAAAGGCATGCTACATCTTTCTAGGGGTAACCTTAATTTGCCAATACACTATGCAGTAGATTACGCAGACATTTCAGTCAGTAGAAAATACGTCAAGTGAATATTAATTTTCAACAATCGGATATCCTCAGTTTATAATGTTAGTTGGCAATTTAGCATGCAGTCACAAAATCACGATGTTATAATTGCCTTTAAGAGGTACGAGCTCCCTTTATGGCTATGATCCCTAGTAAATAAAACTGAGGTATAGTACCCAATTTTGAAAGGTACCTTAATCTGAAAAGAAATATAGCCTTCAAAGAAATCTGAAGTGGCCTAGCTTTTACAGGCAAAGGTATTTTAATATTATTGTGTTTTTCCTTACACTTCATTATTATACTGGTTTAAGGAGGCTACCTTAGTGTATTTACATTCCTTATAAACATACATATGAAAGGTGGCAGGTTCAGTGCAATTTTTACAGAAGGTTCTTGAATTTATTTATTTGGCATTCCCAAAATGTCTGCAAATTTTAAGTTTCTTTTTTAAAAAATAAGAGGCTCTTAAAGATAACAGCAATTTGAAATCATAAAATAATTAGCCATTCAATTTCAAAAGTGGGAACTTAGTTTTCCTTTAAGTAGTATGAACATAAAAGTCAATAAATCAAAAACCCATCAGTTTATACCCTGTAAACATGTGGTACAATTAAGTTTTACTTTATACATTGTCTTAAGAAATAAATTAGAACTAAGATTAAAACACTTATTTTTGTCCCCAAATTATTTTTAAAAATCATCAACCACAAAACAAAAAAGTCACGTCTCACCTCAACAGAGATTAAACAAAAAAACTCACTTGTAAAACTACTTTATTACTCTATTTACCTAGAATTAGCTACGTATTTTTTAAGAGCAGGAATTTTAAAGAGTCTCTACAGTCAGAGGCATATTTTATCTGGAAGCAGCTAAGTAGCACAGTGATAATTTAGCACACAGTGCACTTGTGTATACTTCAGCTGACCTGGTCTCCATTCACTTCACACTCATGGTATGTATTAGGAGCAAAACTCAAACGTTCCATTTTCTACATTCTAGATCACAGCTGCTCATGCAAGAATCTGAAAAGCACTGTAGATACCTCCAAGTCACGTCTTACCATGTATGAGCCACAGTGAAGCGACGACGCTGCCGAATGCTTTTATTCACCAGCAACTTTCTGAAAAAGCATGGTGAGTTCCTTGGTGAACTGCGTGGAGAAATTTTGGGAGATGTAGGTCTGTTTCCCGGTAGTCTCGGAAGCTCAAGTTCTAAGTGCATTTGCTCCTTGAAAGTCTTTATGCAAACCTCAGATTCAGAAGCAGTAAGTTCCTTTGAAGAATCTTTTGCTGTCATGTCTTGTAAGGAGTGCTAGCTTTCACCATACAAAACAAAAGCCTCAAACATAGCAGAGATACTGCTGCAGGTTAGAAGGCTGGTAAGTCTGCAAACTATTTCCAGTTTAATTTGGGAAGCTGTGGCTCCAATGTATGCCGCTTAGAGCAAGAGCAGCATACTCGAAGAATGGCAAGTCAGGCTGTCACAAGAAGCTTTATCAGGCTGGCTTTGCCTCTGAAAATGCGCCAAAGTGCTTCCAATGTCAGTAGCCTCCTTGTGGATGAGGTTTGTCTGCAAGCTACACGCTGACACTCACTGAATTCATTCAGCTGAATATATCAACTCATGAAATATTCATAAGGTCTTCTGATAAATCCTTTACATGTATTTTTTTTAAAAAATCTTATCAAACAAGCTGCATTCACTAATGGATAGTAAGCAAAACCTAATCACCTAGTCACTTGTTCTGTTTGCACAAAGAGCAGAACAAGAATCCATCCAGCATGTGTAATGTTTAAAGTCTTCATTCAGAATTATCTTGCTCTGTAATGCACACAACAGTAACTCCACCTACCAAATGCTATTGGTTCAGGATTATTTAAACAACTGCTCTCTGTTTTTTCCCCTTAACAACACCCTTCATTGCTCAGATTTTCACAAAATTTGTGAGGCTCCTGTCCTCATCACAGTATAAACCGATTAAATCAGGAATTGTCAAAAAGCCTAGCTAAAACAGCCTTCCAAATTCCATTTCTGAGTGAAAGAGCTGATTTGCTGAACTTTTTTTTCCCCTCCCTTTTCTAGAAGATGCAAAACAGCATTAATATAAAAAATGTCAGTGAACAGGAAAACATTGGATTTGGTCCATTCCCCCACGGAATTTAAAGCCCAATCTTTATTCCAATAAGCATTATCCTCATTCTTCTGTTTGAGCTCATTGTTCATGGACTGCCCACAGCAGCCACTCTATGTTAGAGGCAAAGCCACTGCTGACAGCCAAAGCTCCTCAAATCTGAAATGGAGGGAGCAACCAGGAAAAATGAATGCTCCCAGTTAAGGTGCAGAGACCAAAGTCAAGCACTATGCATGTGTTTGTATGTGCAAGTAAGCATACGAGATATTGTATGCCTGTGTCTGACTATACAGACTTGAGAGTGTGTGTGTGTGTGTGTGTGTGCACTTTGTTCACAAGGGATGCAAGTGAAACATACAGGCAGGGGACTTCAAAAAAATGTCTCAAGTCCAAAAGTAGATCACTGTAACCTGACATTTAGATATACACTGGAATTCAGCTTCTATATTTTAAAAGACACATGGAAGTAGAAAGAAAATTGTGGTGCTTGAAGTTGTGAAAAGTCTGTCCTGGCAATGACTGTCGCCAGGGCCAGTCTGATCTCAAACAAATTTGACAAAGCAGAACTAGGGCTAGTCGGCGAGAGTGACAAAAGAGGAATGATTCACAGCAAGACTTCAGTGAAAAATGGAGACATTTATTTTTTCCAGTAAGGTGTGAGATCTTCTACCCTTATAAAATCATTCATATATGTCAGATACTCTGGCTAGAAACATGCTAAATATCTAAAGGGCTAAATAAGAGTAGACTAACTCACGTGTAGGAGCAAGTAGATTCCATACCAGTGCTTGGGGAAGTGGTTCAAACATAATAGGAAGGAGTTAAACTACAGGTTTGCAGGTACTGTCTTGGAAAGCATATCAATATTTCAATAATTAACTAAATCATATTATAAATAAAAGCACAGTTATGGAATTTTAGACTTGTACTGAATCCTAATAATAATAGTAATCACCTTGTTCATCTTCTCATTCCAAAGATAAAGAAACAGACCTAGAGAACTTAAGTGACTTGCCTAAAGTCATACTGGTAGTTGATATTAGGGTTAAAATGAAAACCCAGGTTTTCTGATTCCCAATTGAGTGTTCTTTAATTCAATCACAATATTGTAATTTTGTCCAGGAAGTCCCTAATGCATTTTTTAATATCTAGAGATATTTTAACTGCCGTATTTGAGAAGACAGATTGTTAGTAATATTATGGGAGAAAATATGGCTAATGCTACCTATTATTTCCTATGTTATGAAAACAAAGCTGGGACTTTCCTTCAGCAGTAATATGGTTTAAACCCAGGACATAAATACATGTGATTTTGCCATTATTCTGAGTGACTTATTAGCAAAAAGTAAAATGGCAATTTTAAGTCACTAAATATATCTCTCGTGTTTACTTTTCGAAACTTCCAAAATATAGTAAGCATTTTAGAAATTTCTTCCCCCCCAAAATGACAAATTTTACAATCCAGATTTAGCTGTATGTAAACTGGGGTTCAGATAAGGAAACACAAACTTGCCTAAAGCAGCATAATAGTGCCATTATAATTATTTCCCAATTCTTATTGCCAATTTATATGACATCATGTGGCATTCCACATTACTCTTTTCACTTTACCTGCTATGGCAGCCAATGTCCCAATTAAAGAGAAATTGAGAATCATCCTAAGAAATAAAGTTGTCAAAGATATGTAAAATCTGTTAACTCTGCCTACTCTAGAAAAAATTTAGGAATACCATAGAAAGTCTATTGACATACAAAACTTAAAAGATGACCAAACTGTTTGAAAGTCTGAACTACTTAGTTCTGAAAAAAAAAACAAATGTTTACAGGTAAATGCATGAAAGTGTGTTTCTAGAGTCAAAATGCCAAAAAAAGGAGACACTGTGCTAAATATAGAAATCAAAGACAAATCTAGATGGTAGGAAACAGGAGAAGCTACCTAAGAAAAAGTAAACACAAGCACAATAAAGGCAAACACCCTGCTATATTTCAGCAAAGAATACTATTTTGAGAGGTAGCCAGGAGAACAGGAGAGAAAGCAAATAGAGTTCATGTGTCCTGTTGAGTGCCTAGGAAGGAGCTAATGAATAAAATAAAAACCTTCCTGTCCACATATAATCTTTAGCCCCTGGCACCTCAAAAAGAGAAATGCGTAATTCTCAACCAATTTATCAGTGTACAGATATTTCCCCTTGGGAATGATTTCAGAATTTCAATTATAACTACATCTTAATTTTAGATAATGAAATTTCTGGTATCCACATTCAGACAAAGCAATAAGAATCAAGAATTTATCACATTAAATACCATTAAAGGATTTGAATAGAGTTATACAGTCAATAATAATTAAATAATGCATTACTTATAAATATTATGGACAAATTGAAAACATTTTGATTTTCATTAAATTGAAAAGGAAGGCCAATTAATCATAACCAAAGAAAATTGTAAACTTGTAGTGGGAGTAAAATAACATTATTTTAAATGCTTTTAGAAGTCAACAGTTTTGTAATGAAATTATTTCAGATGAAAATGATTACATTCTTTTTATGTTCAATATCCTTTAGACTTTAAAAGTTGACCTGGGATAAATTTTTTCTGACCATTTTTCAACGGACTGTTATAAAACTAAAATATTTAAAGACACGAAACTGTAGCTTCTGTGCAATAATATTATACCTAGCACAACATTGAACTCAAAATAAAATGGCTCCCATTTGTCATTAATATAAAACTGGATACTTGAGAAGATAATTTGTTCAGAACTTTTTAAAAAGAGAAATAGATTTAAGACTATCAATATTAACAGAGTTGAATTATTGTTGATTATATCTTTATTTATTTCACCATCTAGCTCTTTTTTTCTAAAACAACACATCATCTGAGAACAGCCATTTGACTCTATCCAATTAAAGATATACCAGGGCCCTTCCTTCAGTCAAAGACAAGGTAGTAAGTGAGTAGAGCAGAACACCAACAAACAACTGTAGCCTCTTCCAACAGTGTATGCTGTTATACAACAGTATATAACAGTAAATACACTGTTACAAATAACTATATCACCACAAATTGCAACTTCTCCCAATTTTCCTATTTTAGTTTTAAAACATGAAGCTAGAGAATTATTCTAACATGATAGAAAAGATATAGTATTCAACTTAATTAAAATGGTTATATAGCCATCTTCAAAAAGAAAAAATAACTGACAAATCTTAAGAATTATAGAGATGTAACTTACATTTACTGCATGCCTACTGAGTGCTAGAAATGCTAGTAAGCATTTCTCATAAATTATCTTATTTGATCCTCTTAAACATATTAGACAAATACTGTTGAAATTCCTTGTTTGACTTCCCCATATATTAAATATTTAATATAAGATCCTTTAGGGATGGGCTGAGTCTTGTTTAATATTGTATTTCTGGAATGTGGGATAGAGTGTATGGCACAGAGTAGACATTCAATAAATATTTTTAGACTGAATGTACATTACTTTTCCCATTTTCAGATAAGAACATCGAGACACAAAGTTGCATAGTTTTTAAAGAGTTGATCCAATAATCAAATCCAGGTCTTCCCACTCTAACTATAGCATCCATTTTATTATACTACACCAATGCTACCCAAGCTTTTTATAACAGAGGACACCTAATGGGACAGAAGAGGAAATTCAGGCTCCCAGGGTGATCTAGTCATATTGCTAGAAGTTCATTTTCACATGTACTAAACACCCTTGAGTCTGAAGTTACCTAACATGTTATCTTTATAAGATGATGTGAATTACTTCCCTTTTATCTGTGTGATGCTATTTAATTACTTTAGTAAAATGTCACTTCAGAAAGATTCAGTTTTAACCTGTACCACCTGGTGAAGTCACCTGAATCCTAGGTGGGAGGCTTGTATGCTAGATGTTTGAGCATGGTATGGTATCATGTTTCTTCAAGGTGGTCCTATTCAAGAAAGAATTGCCCATCCAAACCCCTTAAGTGATTCCTCATCACTTAGAATAAAAGCCAAAGTCCACACAATGGCTTTGAGGTCCCTATATGAATGAGTTCCCACCCTTCCCCATCTGGAGCACCTCTCTGAATTCATCTCCTTCAACTCTCACCCTAGCTCACTCTGCTCCAGCCACATGGGCCTCCTTTCTATTCACTGAACATGTTGTTCGAGTTTCCTTTTCCCCAAGATATCCACATGGTTTTTTCCCTTATCTCCTTCCAGCTTTTGCCTAAATTTCACTTGCCTGATGAAGTCTTCCATAATAGCCCTGTTTAAAACTAAGATCTCCCCCATTCTGCTCTAATTTTCTCCATAGTACTTGTCAGCATATAACATAGTCGATATTAGTTAATTACTTGTTTATCACCAGTTTGCTGCCCCTAGAACTTAAGTTTCATGAGGGAAAGGACTTTGTTTTGCTCAATCCTATAATCCCAACTGCCAGAACAGTGCTTGCCACATAGTAGGTATTTAAATAAATACTCGTTGAATAAATAACCAATCTCCTCAGTGCAGAATAAGATGAGCGAGGCATCAAACAAAAACAGAATAAACAATCAGATTAGAGCAAGAGTTATACTGACATTAAGCAGTAACTTTTTCAAAATTTTATGTATTATTTAATGCAGTTTTCACTGCCTGGAGTATTATTTCTCTATTTTCTTTGCCTAGAATACTATGTCTCATCCATTAAGGCTAAATTCAAAGGAAAACTCAATGAAAATTTTTCCAGCTTCCATAGGCAGAGTCAGCTGTTTCATCCCATCTCTACTCCACCAGCATTGAGTTCATCCCTCAGAATGTTTTGTAACATATCATGGTACCTATTTTCATTTGTCTCCAAGGACATAAACTATTGCATTCATCTTGGTATCTTCTGAGCCTGACATTGCATTCTGGTTAATATTTATCAATTAAAAATATGAATGAAAAATAAATTTAGTGCCCCAAATCATGCCTTCCTGTTAGTCCTGGATTTTTCTTATCTTGAAAACTATTCCAGCGAATATCCTAACTTCTTACAC